GTGGGGGAGCGGAGGGTTAGATACGTTTTTCTTCTCTCACACGTTTGTACAAGTGTCTGAGGGGCATGACCACAGTACATCCAAGGCGAGACTACAATGCAGAGTGACAACAAGACTCAGGGCAACAAGGCCCCTACCTTGCAGATGGCAGCACAGGGCAGCATGCATGCACAGGCCAAGGGCACTGAGGCCCAGCTGCTATGGATGGACCTGGAGATCCTGGGGATGCTGCTGAAGATTAAGCTGCAGGCATTGGCCAGGGAGGGGGATACATGTGGCATGACTGCACAGATTATGGATTGTGTCAGGGTGTGGTGCAAGGAGCAGGAGGACATTGGCAGGTGAGGCCCCCTGCACTGAGTGGCCAGAGGGTGGCAGTGCTGGGAGCTGCAGGGCCTGCCAGGTGAGCAGATAAGTGGAAGAGGCTGGCACTGGGCAGTGAGGACAAGGAGGAGCCTGAAGGTGAGGAGGAAGTGGAAGACAAGGATGAAGGGGATGAGGGGTGCAGTGTGGAGGATTGGTGGCAGAGTGATGGAGAGGGGGGTGGTCAGACCCTGCAAGGAAGGCCTCAGCACTGGCCAGTGCAGGAGGTCTTCTTGACTAGCCAGGCCAGACAGAGTGAGCTGCTGTGTAAGGTGGTTGAGGGCAATCAGGTTGTGGACTGGTCAATTCTAGCCAAGGTTGGGTGCCTGACAACCTCATACAATCAGCTGAAGAGGGAGACAGAGGCTGAGCAGACATGGCTGCAGGTGAAGATGGAGACCCCATGGAACCAGCACAAGTACAACTTCATCATGCAGGTGGGGCATATCCTCACTGGCACTGACATGGACAACTTGGTGGAACTCTGCAAGGTGGTGGGTGAAGCCATCCAGGAGCTCAAGTGTCAGGGCGCACAGGTTATCACAGGCAATTGAGATGGGTGGACAGTGGCCATGAAGCTTCAACAGACAGCTGGATCATTCCTGGATGAATTTGTGGAGGAGATTGTGGGCAGCCAGGAGGGCTGTGTTGGAGGAAAGCTGCAAGTTGGTGGCTAAGAATTTTCAGAGCAAGGAGGGCGCACCACAGTGGGGCAGAGGGAAGGTGGGAGCATGGAGCATGGCCTGGTGCTGAAGAAAGGGCCAAAAAAGTGGCAGCTGGTGATCAACATGCAGGCCATCAACAAGGTGCTGGTGGAGTGGTGGTGCAAGTTCAAAGGGCTGGCATCACTGTCCCACATCACTGGCAAGAACTGGTGGATGGTGACATTTGACCTGGCACAAGGGTATCACCACATGGAGATCAAGAAGGAGGTGAGGGCACTGCTGGGCTTCCAGGTGGGCTGGTGGTGGTTTCACTATTGTGTGATGCTGTTTGGCCTCTGGTGGTCTCTGTGGGCCTTCATCAAGATTGTGCACTGCATGCTGCAGGAGTGGTGTGAGAGTGGGGTGTCATGACAGTGTACCTGGACAACTTCATGGTGCTGGCGCCAATGCAGGAGGAGATGCTGCAGGTCTGGGTGGAGGTTATCAAGCCACTACTCAGATGCCTGGGCTGGTGGCACAAGCCATTGAAAGGGTGCTGGGAGCCAACCCAGGTGGTGGAGGTGCTCATCCTCATCATTGACCTGTGAGATGGCCAGTTTCAGGTGCTGGAGAGCAAGATGCAGTGAGTGGAGGAGCTGTGTGAGCTGAATGACCAACCATTGCAGACTTGGTGGGAGCTGGTGCAGGTCGCAGGCGCAGTCAACGCCCTGTGGAGGGCAGTGCTGGTCATGGCCATATTCTTGCAGGAGTTGTACTGGCTGATCAGCAAGGACTGACAGGGGTGGTGCTGGTGCATACACCTGTCAGAGGAGGCAAGGGCAGACTTGCAGTGGCTGAGAGTGAACATGTGGTGGCAGCAGGGCAGCCTGATCTGGCGACCATCAGTGGTGCTGATGGTTCAATCCAATGTGTCCAGTTATGGCTGGGGCAGTGGAGTGCTGCCAGGAGGCGAGAGGGACATTCAGCAACAAGGAGAAGCAGTGCAGGATCCACCAGAAGGAGATGTGGGCAGTGCTCAGCACAGTGTTGGCGCAGCAGCAGTGGTTTGCAGGTCAACAAGTGGAGTTCCAGTCAGACAACATGATGGTGGTGCAATATCTACACAAGGGTGGGGGAAGTGGATGACAGCCATAGTCAAGCAGGTGTGGCAGCTGCTGGACACAGTGGGTGTGAAGATCTATACAGCAGCATGGATTCACAGCACAACAGAGAACAGCTGGGCAGATTTTCTCTCACACTGGAGAGA